ATCCGAGTTAATTTGTTGAATCAGGTTAGAGGGGTAAGTACCTGAAAAATAAGGACAAATCGTCACTGTACGTGAGAATTTTTTTGACACTGATTTATGGTATTAATCGATATTCGATTTTTGGTACTGATTTACTCTTTCATTTGTCTATAAGAAAACAGAGAATTAATACGAATCGTTCATTTATCCGCATTAATTTGATGGAAAAATTAGGTATTGATCGGTCTTCGGTTTTCGGTACTGATTTATTCTCTCATTTCTTTATAAGACAAGAAAAATTGATACGGATCGTTCGTTTATCCAAGTTAATTTGATGAATAAGATTTGAGGGATAAGTATCTGAAAAATGAGAACAAATTGTCATTGCACTTGGACAATTTTCTGACACTGATTTATGGTATTAATCGATATTCGATTTTCGGTACTGACCCAGTAAGCAAAATGCTAGCAAGATGCGTGCAGATTGACGCCAATTTCGATCAGATCTCTACATCAAAACCATAGCCATTTGTGTCCTCATTAGGCTCGTGTTTTGTCGACAGGACCTGTGTGACAGGCCGTGCGAGCAAATTGTCGTCAGAAACCACGCAGGTCCTGCTGCCAAACTACGCTTAGAGTCTGCGCGCAGAGTTTGCTCGGTTTCTGCCGCCAATCTGCCATCAAATTACTGCAAGTCTTGCGCGATCTTTGCTACAAATCTGCCGTCAAATATCCGACAGCAGGATCTGACGCATATTTGACTGCAGATTGGCGGCATAATTTGATATAACAGATTCTGCGTTAAATTTGTTGCCTATTTGCCTTCAAACTATGATAGCAGGCTTTGTTCGAAATCTGCTCGCGCAGGTTTGGCTATCTGGGGATTTACTCTTTCATTTTTCTTTAAGAGAAAAGAATTCATACGAATCGTTCATTTATCAGCGTTTTTTTGATGAATAAATTAAATATTGATCGGTCTTCAATTTTCGGTACTGATTTATTCTCTCATTTCTTTATAAGAGAAGAAAAATTGGTACGAATCGTTCGTTTAACCGAGTTAATTTGTTGTGTAAATTACAGCGGTAACTACCTGAAAAATGAGAACAAATTTTTATTGGACAATTTTCTGACACTGATTTATGGTATTAATCGGTATTCGATTTTCGATACTGATTTATTCTTTTATTGCTCTATAAGAAAAGGAAAAATTGATACGAATCGTTCATTTATCCGCGTTAATTTTTTTTTTATTATATGTAAGTGGTCCATGGGACGATTAAATATTCGAATACATGTTGCCATATCAAAGTCTCCTCTATAATAAACGATTTGACACGTCTGGAGACGCATGATGTATCGTTGCCCGCATCCCATTCCCTTCGTCCTGCTTCCCTGTATAAAATGTCGAATTGAAACGTTTTAAAGAGTATTGACATTTTGAACATGTCTGAATTCTGAATCTTTTTGATCCGAAGAAAAGGATTGAAAAGTATTAGTTTCCATCAAATTTTACTGCGCTAAATGCGAGACGGTCTCTGTCGCCCGGGTACCTCACTAGGGAAATTTCTCTGGTACGCTAAATCCCGTAAGGTCATCAGTCTTTGTAGTATATCTCGTCGGTGCATAAGGTTTATATTACCTGTACATACATATTTTGAAACATTTTTTTTTGGATATTATATCAACCGAATTTTGCGTGTCACGTAATATCCTTCGGACTACATGGACATTATTATTTTGATCATTTTGATTTCTTTGGTATTCATTGAATTATCTAGAGCGCGCAACTGCCATGTTGAACGACTCAATTGTCGTATGAAATGTTTCGATTTTCACAAATTTATATAAAATTTTTCATTTTTCACTGATTCACAGAAGTCTTTCACTTTTTATTAGTTCACGCTAGGGAAAAGACTCATGATCGCTGTCTCGAGCAGCTATAACGCTTTTCGAATCATCTATGTCGGCGCGCTTTTACTCCTGTCATTAATAACTCGATAATTATTGCGAATCTCGCAAAATGGTATGGGACTTTTATGTTTGTCTCAACCCAATCTACCCTCACACTTCGAATTGGCAGCTAATTATCGGACATTTCGTATGATCTTCATGATATTAATCATACACAATGTCAATTCTTTTCTTTTTGCACATGTTAACATGTTAATTCATGTTATAAACGCGTAACAATGTGCGAGACCGTGCTTGTCAAGTACACTATTACGGTTGTAGCACGGACATAAACCGCCTAAAATGGATGTAGCACGGACTGCCACCACATACAGGTTTTACCGCCGAAACCTGAAAGTGGATGTAGCATCGTAGTTCCCTTCTCAAAATGGATGCAGATGGCACCCTTTCCCAGTGCGGAAAGTCTGTGCCGTCGAAAACATCATGTTGGCCGCTCTCATGTACCTCTTTGGTAATATTAAGGCCCAGTTCCACAACTTGCTTTAAACTCCGTTTAAAGCAAGTTGTGGAACTGGGCCTAAAAGTTGTCACCTGGATAAATTTTCGATATTGGCAAGAGAGTTCCGAGGGGCCTGGCGGTAATTGAAGAACGATGACAATATCGACTTCTTTTACTACATTAAATATAACAGGAACATTTATACCGTATTATATTCGATTACCACGGCGATAGAAATTACCGACGATACAAAAATATAAATGATAAAAGTTTGTTTTCTGAACATTCTTTAGAAAACTATAAAAGATAGAAATCCCATGATACTTTATAAATGATGTTGAGTTGAAAGCGAGTCGAATTTATCAACGGACGCATGCGATTTAGATCACTCCTTTTAGGCCCAGTTCCACAACTTGCTTTAAACTCCGTTTAAAGCAAGTTGTGAAACTGGGCCTTAGAGGTCTCTGAGAGTAACATATGAGAAGAAAATTTCAAGTTTACCACCTATTACATATGTCCTGTTAGCGTCATGAACGAGGAACGTCCACATTCTTTCTTTCTCTCCTTTCGTTAAAACTGAGTAAGTTCAACGAAAATCGTATTATATCATTAACATCATAAGTCTTTACATGAATCGTAACACAAGGAATCTAAACTCTAAATTTTTCTCATTGGAATACCTTACTATTTTCTCGTATTTTTTTCTCGTATAACGAGTTATATATCCGGTGCAAAGGATATGTTAACCTCGAAGATGTTTACCGTGCTAGAAACTACCATTCGTATCTTTATTCTCGCACTCTGAATTTTGGATGTACATTTTAAGTATGATATATCTCAAAAACGTCCGTTGCCAATAGCACTTTATATTTATATATTCTAAAAAATTGAACAATTTGACTTTGCATGGCAAGGAAGCTGATGTAATGTATGGCGTTCAGATTCTAAATAACGCATTATGCGTTAATCATTTTTGTTCTGCAGGATTTCGTGATGGGGGCATATAAGTATATGCAAGAATTGTATCGTAAGAAGCAAAGCGATGTGCTTCGCTTTTTATTGCGTGTTAGATGCTGGCAATATCGCCAGTTAACAAAGATGCATCGTGCTCCTAGACCTTCAAGACCTGATAAAGCTCGTCGTCTAGGTTACAAAGCTAAACAAGGTAAAAATTTTTATTAAAGTATTTATATTTATCAAGTTGTAAATGTACTTTATAAAATTGAATACATGAAAATATTTAAATCACTTGAAATTTTTATTACAAAAATACTTTGGTATAATGTTTTATGATTGTACCTGTTGTATAGTGTAAAAAGATGCTTTTATATATTAAATATGTAATATATTTATAACATCATACTTATAATCATATTTATCATATTTGCTACAAATACAATTATTTAAAAATATTACAATAATAAAGATTTCCATTTCCTTATATTTTTTATTCTTAATGCCTATCTGATGAGTTACATGCACCACTCTTACAGTTTTATGGGGATGTATATGTATCGCTGATTCAACTTATTTTATCACAACAAGTATGACTGTAAAGGTATAATATCAACAAATAGACTTTTTTTTGTGATGTAGGTTTTGTCATCTTCAGAATTCGTGTGCGTCGTGGTGGACGCAAACGTCCAGTTCCCAAAGGTGCAACTTATGGCAAACCTAAAAGCCATGGAGTTAACCAATTGAAGCCAACCAGAAAATTGCAGTCGGTTGCTGAGGTGAGATATATAATAAATATAATTAAAATGACCTAAAAAATCTGTGAATATGAGCTATTTATATGATAATTCATGCACTTTTCTTATATTTAAATGGGGAAATAAATTTTGTTTGTTTCTGAACAAGAAATCACACTTATTTACTAGTTATTTACTGGTATTTGTCATTCAACAATTTGTTTTGTAGGAACGTGTTGGTCGTCGCTGTGGTGGATTGAGAGTATTGAATAGTTACTGGGTAGCCCAGGATTCCTCGTATAAATATTATGAAGTTATTTTGGTTGATCCCGCACACAAGGTAATATATTAAACTAATTTTGTTATAATTTTGGATTATTATCTTAAAAAAAGCTATTTTTTCATACATTATAAGCATGTAATACACAATATGATGACACTTTATATCATATATGATAAAGTAATGATATTTTTAATTCTTCCTTGGATGACTGATGACAAAATAAAGTTTTAATAATTTGAAATGTTTTGTTTGACTCCTATTTCTGATATTCTTTGTCTTGCTCCAGGCAATCCGTAATGATCCAAAAATGAACTGGATATGTAATGCAGTTCATAAACATCGTGAGCTGCGTGGTAAAACTTCCGCCGGCAGGAGTTCACGCGGTTTAGGTAAAGGACATCGTTACTCACAAACGATTGGTGGTTCCCGCCGTGCCGCTTGGTTACGACGAAATTCGCTTTCTCTTCGCAGAAAGCGATAATAATATTATTTGTAATCATAAAAGAAATAAAAATACTATAACAAAATTCATGAGAAAAGTCCATTTTCCATGTATGTGTGTATGCACATGTGTGTGTATATATAATATATGTGTTTGTGTGTATACATATAAAGTTCAAATTGCAAAAGCTTCAAATATCAGTTGTATAATTCAGTTTATTTCTGATGTATATATATAATTCAAAACAATAGAAAACAAGATAAACAACCTAGATAGAGAAACCAACTGTCACTTCATATTGTGTGTGTATTATAATAAAGGATGATAAAATCCTTGATTTATATATAATATTTGAAACAATTGAATTTATATATAAAAGGGAAACTTCATTGTCCAGGTCCAGATAATGATTTGTCCATAAACTTCTTTTTTGCGAAGCAAAGCCACCATTTGCTTGGTTTACCATCCTCACCATATACTTTTTCAACGATCCTAACAGCTGTTTCTTGTCTAATTTGATGGAGATACTGTCTCATGAGATCTAAAATTGAAAGTAACATTTCATTAATTGACAACATATGGTATCATATATATATTTAGTATATATACTTCCAAATTACTCAATTGTTTTACAAACTTTTTATACTTACCAGCTTCAGCAGGACTACTTGGTTTAGCATATACAGAATTTAATGGGAATCCAGGATCACCAGGGATGTCAAACTTAGAAATAGCTAAAGAAAACATTTCATTCATGGCTTGTGGTTGGGTTGCACATTTCTGCAACTTTTTCAGGCATTCAGTGATAAATAGAGTGATATAAATTAGAACTCTGTCAGCTTCACTCTGCAATGAAGATACAATTTGCAAATATATATAACAATTTGTTTATATTGTACCATGAGCTTCTAAATATATTACCTTAATTTCATATGTCCTAAAAAACACATTGGCTTTGAAGAAATATAATGCTTCATCAATTATATCTTGTTCCTTGTTATTAAAAGAAGGTGCAGGACCTCTAAATGTGGTTTTAATTGGCAAAAGAGCCATGTTTCCGATAGTACCATGGCTTTTTGTGAAACTTGAATGATATGCCTAAAAATTTTAATAGAACAAAACAGTATATAAGCTTTAAATTTAATGTAACATGGTGTAAGTTAGATTATGCTATCAACTTAGATGTATGACTAATCCATCACTACTATAAGTCATGCAATATATTCTTAGTTTAATTGATTATTAGTTTGTGTTATATATTAATCAGAACAAAATTAGGACCCACCCAATGGGATTGAAATACTCAACATATACATATTTATATATAGAAATAATTATAAAAAAATCTATTCTGGAATGATTTGACATTGTGCTTTGGTTATATCGTGCAGACAACGCCCTGGAGATATTTGATTGATAATATTTGACTTGAAATGTATTATAATATTAATATAATGATATGAAAACTTACAGGCATTACAGCGATGCAATTATTTTTGGAAAGTCTTTCGTTCTACTACTGTGTTAAACAACAAGTTTTCAAGAAATGTCAAACCAGGCTCAAATACTCTAAAAACGAAATATTACTTCTGGAGGACTTGCTTTAAACAGAACAAATTTGTCTCTAGAAAGTAAATTCAGTTATTGGATACCAGAAGACGCACTAGAATAGTAGACCAACACAAATTCCCTACGAACGCGAAAGCGCACAAAAATGTCACAACGCCAACGAGGTAACATAAAGACTGACAGCCCTCAGGACCGGCGGTTGTTACAACTTCTCGGTAAGTTAACCGATAGTTAAATCATACGTTTGTCTTTGTTTTGCCTTCAACTTGGACAAAGACAGACATATGATTTAACTGTCAGTTAACTTACCAAGAAGTTGGAACAACTGGCCCTGAGTAAATTTTCATATTGGCCACGGAGGCCCCGAAAGGCCCGGAGATAATCATAGAGCGATGATAATACCTGCATTTTTTGCGTGTTGCAATCTATGTAAACGAATCGTAAGTCTTCCATTCGAAAATAACTATGGCTTTTGTCAGTAAAAATATAAAGTTCCAGGAGAATGGCGTAGGGGCTTACTTGCACAGGCCCAGAGCCATCTATTGAAGGAAGGAAGGACGGAAGAAAATAAAGTTGGCAATAGTAAAAATTACTAATGCCGCGTTTCACTCCTCGCGTGAGTAAAATCAGTAAACAGCTGATGTAGGCTGCGTTCCGAAATCCACTGCCAGTACTGAAAATACATGGTTTGTGTCACGTATACTATATAGATATACTATATAAATTTTCAGTACTGGCAGTGAATTTCGGAACGCAGCCTTCGTGGTGATTCTGAGTTGATGTAATAATGGGTCTGTTCTTTATAGCACTATTGAACTGCACTGCTGAACTGTGCAATAAGTTAAAATGAGATAACTATATTTTTCTCACCCTAACTTATTGCACTAGTTCAGCAGTGCAGCTATAAAGAACAGACCCAACGATTAGTAAATTAATGAATCCTAAAGAATTAATTGATTTAAAATTAATGGATGAAGCGACAATTATATTATATTATAAAGTACTATATTATAAAGTACAAAAGGAAATGTATAATTGTGCTAATAATTATATAACTTTATTATAACAATCCATACTTTAATAATAATAATCATATTTATATTATCTTATTATGTCTTTAATTAGACTAAAAGTTGACAATGTTTTATTCAAAGGAAGAGAATAAATCAATGTGTTATAAAATATTGTCCAGTTTGAAAAGAATTTATTAGTATTATTTGCTATCATATTTATTGATGCAGCAGAATTATATATATCTTTAGAATTAACTAACATTTTTATTTATTGTAATAATGTAATAGCAAATGTATTTGTAAAAAGCCATAACTGTAATATAAATATACATAAGATAATCGCAATAACCCAATACGCATCAACTAACAATAATATAACATTAATATTATAATATTTGCCATTCAACAATGTAAATATGACATAACACATGTTTTGTAACAGTTATATTGTTGAGTGAAAAATTAGAAGTTAAGCATCATGTACAGGGTGTCCTAGAACAATTATTTCTGTTGTCATAGTTTATAGGAGTGTAGAATGGATTAAAGCAAACAAAGAATCTCATGGATTATGTAGATAGTCCAATTTTTCATTTCTTGTTAATAAAGAAAAACAAAGTTGATACAGTTCATTCTTAGTTTAGTTTTTGAAGAATAAAGATTATCTATTCAGTTAACCCAGCCAGAACCGTTGATTCGACATTTATTTGACGATGAAATGGTCGATAAGCGTTGAATCAATGTTAATTCAACCTTCATCGACGTCGAATCAACATTATGGTGCTGACTGGGTAATGAGTTACATCACAAGCTTGGAGTTTCATTAAAAATAACAACGACCGTAACGGGGAATTTAGAATTATTTGAAATAATTATCTGTTGTGTAAATACATCGACGAGATACTAATTAATCTTTCAGCGTACCAGAGAAATTTCGCTGTATGCTAACGTCCTATAAAATATAATTTTTCGAGACTAGCGCACTCTAGTGTTGGTTGTTGCGAGGTTAGACATGGTTGTGAGCTTTTAGAAGTGCTGTATGCTAAAGGTATTGTTTATTACTCGCAATGATATACTTTTCAGTTTCCCATTTATAAATTATGAACAAGATTCTAACAAAAAAATGTATTAGATTCAAGTGTTAAGAAATAATTATTATATAGATAAATATACATCTTTAAATAGAGAGCATAGAAGCATGTAACCATGCTTCTATGACCTTTCTTATGAAATCTATTTTAATATTATACTACTGTATGTTTTTCTCATAGAATATTAATAGAATATTATTGTCTTTGTTTCAGGTCATACTTTATGTCAGAATGCCAAAATATCATTGGTGAAATATTGATTAACTCCTTGCAATCAATCAATCAAAAAGAATAACGTTATGGAGTTATAAGTATTTGATTCTATCCATATTCTTGTAAAGGTATGATTTATTTCAACATTGATATTTTTTCTTTGATGATAAGTGCATGTGTCTTGAAATATTATATGTGAATAATATACATACATGATAAATATACAATAAAAGAGAAAAAGAAAGAGAGAGAGAGAGAGAGAGGAAGAGAAAAAGGAAAAGAGAGAGAGAGAGAGAGAGAAAATATATATGTGCAAGCAAATAAATATTAGATAACAGTAAGGTTATATCAGTGTTATAATTGTTAGCTTAACAATATAAGTACAATAGATCATATGTATATGTTGTATGTAAGTTATATTGTTGAATGAGAAATTTAATATTAATGTAATATTACTGTTATTCAGTGTTTACTAGGCAACATATATAATTTTGTCAAAACGGAGATATGAAAAAAGCACAATATGTTAGAAATAACATTTATATTCATTTAAATGCATGTTATACTTTTTGATATTCAAATTCACCGATTTATCAAAACACATGCATCAAATTATATTATAAAAAATACTAACATTTAATTAATAATTTTTTGAACAGTTTAAGAATTTCCGTGAAATATCTTTCATTAGTCACTTCAAAAGGATGGTAAGCAAACTGTAGTTGCAGCTTATAAGAAGACAACAAAATCCCTTCAGTGATTACATCAGTCAGCCGTGTGAAATAATAATGGTATTGAATTTATATTCTGTCATATTGTTATAACATAAGAATAAATGATGTTAGGAACATCTATAAGACTATTAAAGATAATTTAATAGTTTTATAGATAGACTCAATTGTCATATAAGATTGATCACTATTTCAACAGTTTGCCACTATGAGCAGCAGCTCTGTCGCATACTGTTTTACCGATCAAGTGATGAGCCGTCGAAAGCATATCATGGCTGAAAGATGCTTTGATTGACAACAATGTGTTGGTTCATTCTATTAAATTTCATGTAATACAAGAAATATGCTACAGAATATGCAGTTGGTAAAGTATCAAACACATACTGCAATCATTTTAATTTTATAAGTGGATGAAATTGTGCTATGCATTTATTGTGCTGAATAATAGATAAGGATACATTAATTTTTTTAACTATAGAGGGAACAATCCTGTTAGCATCCATATAAATAGTGATGTTGCTAAAAATATTGATTAAACTAATCTTTCATTTTCACCAGAAGGTAAAAAGTAAAGATAATAATATATAATACCTAAGAATAGCAAATTATTTCCAGAATGTTCCCAATTCGAGGATACCTTATATAGTTACACCAAGATTGCGTAAAAATCGTAAAATTGAGAACAGATGGGGATTGCAGTATGAGATATCTGTACAGTATGCTGCATTTGGGAGGCAATGTTTGCCTTATATGCCAACAGAACCACCAGCATCTTTGAGTGAAGAGGTTGTGGAATCTGAGCCACTATATGTGTGCAAGCAATGTAAAGACTGGTTAGTTAATAATGATTAACATAATTATATTATTTTATATTTTGTCACAGCTGTTATATGATTTCAATGATTCTGGTTGCAGTTTTCGCTTTCAAAGCAGCTTGGATGATCATAGTAAGAGGCGTAGTTGGATTTTTGGACTTTGGTGTCACAATTGTTTTAGGACAGTATGCACTCATATAACCGAAATAGGCTCTGTATGTTCTATATGCATGAGACAAGATAATGAAAAACGTTCATATTTACGATCAAGAGGATTTGGTCACCAACGTTTTCAAAAATGGGGAGCTATGAAAGTATTTTACAACCAGTGCCAACTCTTTGAACACATGAAATTGCATAATTTATGCTCAATAGATGTATCTGATGTAATGTTAATGCCTCTACCTGCTGATTTAAGTTATAATGATTGGACTCTTGAACTAGAGTTAGCATGTGAAGCACTTATGGAATACACATTCTTATTACGTGTGCATGTCATGGATTGGTTAAGATTGAACAAAATAGAAAATAACTGGTGGAAATTGATTGATGACGAAGATGACAACAATATGAGTAACATTGTAAGAGGTTATAAGGGTCGACAAATGTTCAAAACTTTGGAAAAGTGTGAAGAAGACCAGAATCCTAATTCTGAGGTATCCAATATCACCACACATTCTCTTTTTATGGAACTTATTGATTCTTGTTTTAATGACAAGGATAAGAATAATCATTCTACTAATGCTGTCTCAGACAAAAATGTGTCGGAAAATGAAGATAATCCTTGCGTGTCAACTGACATTGCTTTTGTAGATTGTGGTCCTATCTCAAAATGTTTGGAACCAGAACCATCAATGAGCACTATACCTAGGAAACAGATATCTGTTCTTAAAAATTCAAGACGAAATATACAGAACTTGCACTTAACTGATAAAACTGCTAAGAGAAACTGTAAAAAAAGAAAAACGATGCTTATAGATACCAGTTTAGTTGAAACGGATGTGGTTCCTGAAAATACAACTATGCTAAAAGTTGGTGAAAAAGACTTGAATAAAAATACTATCAGTAAACAATCATTCAAAAACTCTCAGCAATATAGAACAGAGCAATCATTTGTAAAAGAAAGTGTGGGAAATAGCATTAGTAAACCTATAATAGAAACTGATATTGCTAAAATTCTAAACAATCCAATCAACATCGCTGTTCCGTTTTCTGCTAAAAATATTAAGTTACATAAAACGAATTCAGATTATTTAGGACATGGCCTACAAAAATCCGTAGGAGCCTGTGGTTCCGAGATATTACCTGTCCAAAGTTCAAAGAAGGCAGATGTTGCATCTATTATCAACGACCTATCTTCTCAACTTATTTTAAATAATAAAGTTGTTCTTGAACAGAATTCACAGAAATTTATAACTTTTTGCGACGAAGATGTAATTATGACTGAAAAAAAATCAAACAATTCAACATTGGATAAAAACAGTACAGATGTTGGTACGTTATTACAAAAGAAACAAGTTACTGGTAAATTTTTAATTAAAGGTGGAAAGAGATATCTTATTAAACATTCAGAAGATATCAAGAAGAATTTGTCTAATCTGCCTATTATGACTAATATTTCAAAAGACACAAAACTGCTGATATCCAAACAGAACATTCCAACATCATCTACTACTAATTCTGGTGAAGTCAAAAATACAAATATGGTACAAGCAACTTCACCTCAGAACGACATTTCATTGTTAACACCTTCGCCGTCTCCTTCAGAATTATCCAGTAGTTCCAGCTGTGGGTCGCATGCTAAGCAAATTTTTAAAGTAAAACTACGAAAAGTACTTCCGCGATTAATTTCATTACAGAAGAATTCATGCGAGATGATATCATTGGTTGAAGAAAAAGGAGAAAAGGTCTACATGAATTTAAAAATAACAGATAAGGCTCCCAAAAATATTCCTCATGGCATATGCAAAGACATACCGAAGTGTAGAGAAGAAATGATAAAAGAGTTTTATCATATGGATAATTTCGAGTTGATGGCACGAATCAATCATCTGCAACACGTTAGCGAAGAGATTAGGAAAGTTATGAATTTTGTAACGAATAATAATGACAAAGAAAAATTAAGGTCTATTAATGCTCTCCAGCGGATATTGCAAAATTGTTTGCGTAAGTGTGATCAGAATGTACAAAATAAGAAGAATGATCCGATGTTAAGCGAATGGGAATGGAAGAAAATTGATATATATAGCCATAGATGTCCATTATGTCGCAAGACTATAAAGCCGAGAGCTTATATTGCTGGATTTTCGAAATTGCCTAAGGACGATGATAGATATTGTTTCTGTTACAAATACGTTTGTTACAAGTGTCTATCTTATCATGGTGATTCATCGTGTTTCAGTGCGCATCAAAACCTACACATGCAGGTGGAACCTTATATTTGTCCAGATTGCCACATCAACTTTATTAACGCTAAATTTTTAGAAATCCACATATGGACTGCTTGCTTTCACACACTGAAAAAACGCGTATTCTCTTGCAAAGTTTGCAAGATAGATGGATTTAGAGACATAGAGTCGATTACTATACACTTTGCTACTATGCACAGTGATAAGAAAGTCGTGTGCGAAATGTGTTGCTTGGTATTTTCTTTGTACGATGATTATATGAAGCATTATGCGATGGTACACATGAACATGCCGAAGCCCAAACCGATACGGCTAGTAATAAATAAATTAAACAACGAGATTGTACGTTATGAGAATTTTATACAGTACTTGGTTAATTCCTCCGCGATTGAGGAACTTATATGGTACAAATGTCCTTTATGTCCATTTGCAACTTTAGAAGACACGGATATGGCGATGACATTTAGCACTCATTTACAACAGCAGCATTTCAAACGCTTGTCTGAAGTCATTAGTGCAGAAGCGTTGGAAGATATTATCTCCAAGAAAAAATTTGGAAAAACCTGTATTTCCGAAGGTATCTTAGATACAGTAAAGAATCCTCCGTGTGAAGATGGTACCGTAATACCTAAGATCGTAAACACTCGAACTATTTCGTCGGAAATATTCGAACGTGGCTCTCACGATGCGGACAACACGTGGTCCATTAATTCTGGTGGATCCACGTCTACTTTTGCCGCTGATGTGAGTTCACAAGTGACACAAAAAGTAGACCTGCTACCAAAAATCCTCAATGTTAGATCAGTGGCTGGTTTAAAGACAACCGTAGCGGACAACGTTGCGACAAGTACAGAACTTTTAACTGACATGAAGGTTAAACGCGATTCTCAAGCTTCTTCATCTGAAGTAATTAAATGTAGGAATGAGAAAGGAGAGCTATCATGTAAAGATGAGAAAAACGTGATGATGGAACTAGATGACATCAGATCTGACATCAGGGAAAAAACGAAGGAGCTGGAAGAGCCCGATAAAAGTAACGATGAATTGGTTGCTTCGTGCGCAGCTGAATTCGAAAAATCTCTACAAATAAATGATGGTCACACAAATTCGTCTACCGAATCAAATGCAGAAATTTCCAACTCCGAGTCTGCACCCAAGACAAGTGGCCGTATAAAAGTAATTGATATCAGAAAAATATGTATGCCAAACATCAAACCATTCATGGACAAGTCGTGCGATATGCAGCCCAACGATGAAAATGTAGCCTCTACATTGCCGAAACCTCCTCCGCTTGCGAGAATCCCGCAACATATACTTGATTGTAGAAAAACCGAGGTGGCGGATGCAGCGAGACGAACTATGAACATGAAGCCTCTTTCGCGAAAAGCGGCCAAGATGAGACCTCGAATTGCTATAATCGGGCCAACTGACACGCAAGAGGGATCTATCGAGTTTTTGTGTCACATATGTAACAAAAAGATCAACACTTCTTGGCCAGTGGTGCGGACACACTTTACCGAGAATCATTTTCGTGAATATCAATTGGCTACACCTTCTCTGTGCTTAAAGAAACTACCATCTGACTACAAGAAATATTATCAGAAATATATATGTAATATGAAACGAAAGTCAAACATCGCTTTACCTACAGTGAAGAGAAAGCGCCGGTGGACATCAAAGAAAAGTAACACTGACACAAAGGACACAAGCGTACCCGAGATAGGACTTTGTGTGGAAAAGGAGACGGCAGAAGACGGTGAGGGTAATTTCAAATGCAAGAAATGCGGTCAACGATGTACTGACATGTCCGATCTGAGAGAGCATATTGCTGCTAATCACAGGCTGAAAGGCCGTTATTTGATATGTCTGGAATGCGGCGAGAACTTTGTGGTCGCGCCTAGCCTACAGATGCATCTGAAGGCTTTTCATGGAATAGACGATCCTATCAGCCACATGAGTCAAAATCCTTCTTATTCCTCTGACGCAATCGGCGATTTGGAGGAGGAGAGAAAAACAACGGAAGCTAATCAGTGTCATGTTTGTATGGCAGTTTTCGAGGATAAGGCTGCGGTAGACAAACACCTGAGAGTACATGGTATGGCTTTTTTAAATCGTAAGAGGATAGAGGCGAGAAACGCTCTGAAGAGCCCGGAAAAGAAACCAAACGCGGAGGACAACAAGCAAAGTCCTCAGCAAATTACAGAACAACCAAGGGAAACTGTGAAACGAGATAAACCGGTGGAAACAATCCTAGAAAAACTTAATGTAAGTAGTTAAATCTGTCATGAATCGATGTAAAGAGAATAAGGACGATAATTATAAATCAGGTGAAAGAAAAGCTAATACATGCTAAAAATGGCGGAAATATTAGTATTATAATCTTTTCTTTATATTACTATTGAAAATGGTATATTAACTGTTTTCAGGCGGCAATGTAATCACAGGGGATGAACATGTGGAAGAAAACAATTTTGTAATATAATATATTCATTAATTCTTATTTATAAGTTTTCGTCTGTATATTTACGCGCTCAATATTTTTGTCGACAGTTCATTGTTGTCACGAAACATTGTGTCACTGAATTATTAATCTTTCTCTTCTCTATCACGTGTACTTTAGAAGATCCGTATATTCTATAATTTATCACTTTTGAAATTTAGTTAAACGAGTCAGAATAAAACACGATGAATCATCTCGATATATACATAAATTAATAGTATCATGGGGAGACATTATGTATATTACCGTACGTATGATTCGGAATTATTAATTGTATTTTCTTTTATTGATATTTATATAGTATGTCCCATCACTACTGTGACACGGATTAATAACAGATCCTTTAAGGTATTTTAAGATGAAAATCTTAACACGAAGGTATCAAGTTTATAATAGCTTTGAAATAGGAAACGTTTCGTGCTTGCATTGTCACGTTGTCCATATTTCGGTGACGTCTGCATTTCTGGAAAATACATACCTACATCTGTGAGTTTTATTTATTCAATTAGAAATAATATTATTAAATGTTTATAAAGATGTCGCGAATGAAAATAAAATATTATTGTGAAATGTAATATATTGCGTTAAAAACAGAATTTTTCGAGATTAAATTTATTTTGTATGATGTTCTGGTAAACGTACGTTTTTGAGTAAAAATATATAAATAAAGAAATGGTTTCATATATATATATATATATATATATATATATATATTTGTAATGTTATATGATTAATATTGATCTGAACAAACTTTATCATATGAGGAATCAACTTTATATCTGTCTCAGGTAACTTTAACGACATATATATATATATATATATATATATATATATATATATATATATATATATATATATATAGTCCATCTATAGGAATAGTGTTAAAATTAGACGAAATATATTCAATATTACACTGGATATTAGAATTGGGTGTAATAATCCTGATTCGCTTCAAGTAATTTGATTTTGCATACTTTATATATGATTGCATCGGACAGAAAATTCAAAAATCAAAATAATATGTGAAAAATCCACGTATTTGGATAAGATTTATCGCATGTTTTTATTGCATATTGCTATGATAATAATAATATACGAACCTTATGAAAGATTCTCGGCGCGATACGCGTCGTTAAAGTTACCTGAGACAGATATAAAGTTGATTCCTCATATGATAAAGTTTGTTCAGATATGTAAAGTTTGTTCAGATCAATATTAATCATATAACATTACAAATAACAAATTATTTTTGTTTCTGTAGTATGAGCGTAAGATGACTGCATCTTATATTAATGATCAGTAATTATTTAAATTCTCCTTATTTAACGCTTTTGCTACAGTTTACTTGGGAAATTATCTCAACGATTTATCTTCTATTTTTTGATGTTATAGTGTAAACAGACTTATAATTTGTTTATATATAGACATGAAAAATGGTCGCTCTTATACATACATATATATACACATATATATATATATATATATATATATATATATAACATTGGACACTTACGAAAAATCGATGCGCTATATGTGTAAAACATTAATAGCAAAGATATTAAAGACCATTATTAACATTTTCGTAGCAGGATTTTGCCTTAAAATGTCTTCAGAAATCTGTAAGAAATAATGGATATTAACAGCTAGTGATAGGACATGTATATATTTAACAATTTTGTAATTTGTACTATAGTTTCTTGTAAATTTATTTAACAAGTCTAAAAAGGTAGTTAACTCATTGTAATAAAAATTATACATATATATACACATATATATATGTATATGTATAATTTCATATACGTTTAAATATATAGAAATGTTATTTTAATAAAAATTCAATACATGTCGATCTATAAGATACATCATAAGGTATTGTAAATACTCTGTTTTACAAATTAATTTCGTTTTGTACTGCACTAGTTTCATTAATTTTATTTGCGATATATAAAAATAAAGATCTCTTAGATTAGTGATATATCCATATTATATCGTTCATTGTTCGTTTTTTAATCCAAGGACTGTGGACTGTGGGACGGATAACGATAATGGCCAATATGATGAGATGGATAGAATATATAGTTCTTTATTATATCATTCTTATTTGCACAGACAATGCTGATTATTTCTTAGCCGATAAAGTTTTAATGATTGACACATCGAGATATCCGAGTAACGAAACGAATCGGATAGCAAGATTTCGGAAGGAAACCTTTTCGCTGGGATATGTCCTCGCCATTCGTTTTATCTACATATTTATATGTATACGTTAATGCTCGGTGACATGAAAATACGTTTCAACCAGCTTCACATTGTACAAACCAAACGTGCTCCATTCTTACTTTCAATCATTTTACTTCGAACAAATATATTTTCATTACACATGAGCGCAGGTATTAGAGAAAAGGTTTGTGGCACTGAACACTTTGATTGTGGCCCCATAAGAGTATGTTGTAGTTTGTCTTCTGAAACACTTGGAGAGCTTTTTCGTTTTCGCGGAAAAGTATCCTATCTTTGGATAATTAATGAGAATGTAATTAATCGTGAGTAAACTATTTCGAAAGGTATCGGCGTTTTCTATACTTCCGCTTCTCTCATTTCTCCTCGTCGTTACTCCTTGACGGTTGTCCTTCCTGTGACTTATGTCGGATCGAGATTACTGAAATCATGTCGTCGGGATAAAAGATACTTAGAAAGAAGAATATCGTGAGCGTTGGTCCCATTTATGATCCGCCAAGACAAACGTATACTCTTACGGGTCCGATTTGCTTTTCTTTTGGCACAGTTACTAACGAACACACATGATTGAGATTATATTGCGATTGGTCCGTGATCCTCGCATTTGGGCATCGGAAACGACAAATTTATGTTCATCATACGTACGCAACTTCGTGGAGTTCTCACACAGTCATGACACTCTAATCGTTTGTCAGATTGGGCGCGAATAAAATTAACACTTGATTTGAGCCGGTTGTCTGTATCATCTTTTTTCTTTGAGGTGCTCCATATTGCATACGTTTCTCCTGAGAAGCGTTTGACAGCATCGATTTTATAGCGTTCCACTGCATACGGCCGCCAACTCGCTACTCGATTACGATGTTCAATGAATAACCAATTATGACGTCAATTTTCTTAATAAGCAACGCTATCGTTAGTTCATTGGGTTCATCATACCCAGATTATGCGAATTGACTCTATCGGAGATTCTAATCGGCTCTTAAAATGTTAATTCGAAGCTATCTAATATAGACGCTATACTCCAACGTGTTATCGTAAATCTTCATGTATTTATACATGGATGTTGCGCGAAGATGCCTCGCGTAAATCGCAGGTCAATAGCGTATCCCTAAGTACTTTGTTACGCTGGCGTAACAATCTTCTTCTGTCTATCACACGAAACATCTAAATAGACGCGACTTATAATTTGACTCACGGATTGTCTAAGCGACTACGATATAGTTAGGAATTTTCAGCAGAATCGTTATTCCACCTTCTCCTCCCCCGAAAAACATTCAAACGTTAATGTGGATGTTGCACGAGGAACGCGATAAAACCGACACCGTTCGGAGTTATTTTTCTGATATATTGTCTCTTTTACTTGGCGGTAGCTTCGTTGAGAGATAAGTACAAGGACAGTAGAACTTCGCGTTTAAACACGAGCACAGTCGCACTACACAGTGGTCGGTCTCCTCTCCACGCAGGAAGCACCGATGTGGTTATCGGCATCGGAGTTGGACTCCTCGCCTGGGTTATCCGCATCGATCACTGACACAACTGGGCTCGATGGACGAGGCATCGGTTCTTGATAAAAGTTCGAGCCAACGTCGTGTCGAGTTTCCGACGTGGAATCGTTCTTCAACGGCACAGAATTGCTCGCAACGCCGGTCACCCTCAGGGACAAGGAGGACGACGAACTCGACTGGGCAGTTTTCGATTCGTATTCGGCGGGGCTGACCTGGTCCTGGCTGTCGTTTACCCTGAACAACTTCCTCAAGTCGCTGCCCAGCTTCGTATCGACCGGACTCGTCTCTGAGTCCACGGTGATGGTCAGGGCCAAGGAATCCGGTGGGTTTCTACCTCGGGCGGTATTGGCGAGCTCGCTGAAAGGGACCCCGATCTCGCTTGTGGCACACATATCGAAATTGGGATTGCACGAGCTACGGGATGGTACTTGGCTAGTTTTCGGTTTCGTCGCGTCTTCCATCGAGTGCCAACGATGCGGTCTTGGAATCGACATGTTCTGCGCGATAGCGCTCAAACTGTTCGCCGGGATTATGCGATGAGGAAACCGAGGCGATCCGCGTATCTTCTCCCGAGAGGACGACTGACTCATGCTCACCTCTGTAAATTTGTTTTATCGTAAATGTTAAAGCAATGCATATAATTCACTGTATAGCCAAACGCTCGCACATTCAGATTCGAAGCTTTTCATCGGGAAGCTTTTTATGCATTTATTCATGTAAAAGATATTCAACTTTTTCTGAGATTTGTCGCTCTATTTTAAGAATTACGATCTCTTCATTCCGAGTCTTAATGCCGAGCTTCAATTCGCGAGGACGATAACATTACTGTAGCGATTTGTTTGATGTTTTTACGCGAATATGCGTTATAGGTTGAGAGATTTTATTTAAATGAAACGTTGAAATTCTCGAGATTATGTCTATACTCACGTGGCGGTAAATTGAAATTCACCCGAGGTTCGCTACTTTCCTTACGACGTAGCCCTAAGCTCAATCTACGATCTTCCTCGCTTGTAATACTAATTATTGGTCCTGAACCGCATCGTGCATGAGGCGAGTGGGTGCCTTGGGCATCCACCTGGCAAGTAGAGGCGGCCTTCGTGCCAGGCACTAAACCGGCAATGTAACCCATATGGACTCGAAGAGCCGATGCAACCCCTGAATGAAGATGATACAAGCGGATAATCGTGGCCGTATAATATATGTTAAATATACTTCTAAATTATAGCTAACGTGAAAATTGAGAATATAATACACAGCATCCTTTTCCGTCACACTTTTTCCTCGCACTAATCGCTCCTGCTAATTATTTTTAGTCGTGTTATTAATTAAGAATACTTCTACATGCATATTCAAATGCAGAAATAGTGGACGTGCGTGCAAGGATGTGCGAAGAAAGCGGTTCTATCGCGAGTTAAAGAGACAACGTCAGGTTGGAAGTTTTAGCAACAGTTTTATCCTTTGAATCAACGAGACAGCATATACTACTCGAACGCATATGAGATCGCAAATTATGAGAATTTGTATTTCGCGTTTTTATGCAGACTCTTTTACGAGTTTCAGCTTCCGGAAATTTTGACAGACTCGGGATAAGCTGGGATAAGCGAACGCTACGCACGCTGCACACACGCTGGGACGACGCGTGTTGCATGAACGCGCGCGCAGTCGCACTGCTCGCACATGAGTGAGACGGACGTGTGCACGTGGCCCGATGACATGTGCGAACGGCCCCGCAGTGGGGGCAAGGCCGCGCGCTGACCTCAATGTGCTATCAATTGAAGATTTCCTAGAAGTCTACTACGGAACGCGGCCATACTCCCACTCACACGTGATGCAAACAGCACGTGCCATTGACGCCACTGCAGCGTCTCGAGCCGGGATCGGGAGCGCGATTCGGTTCGATAATCGTCGATTTCCATTCTCCATTATTAGAGATCGTGGCGACTTCAAACGAAAACTATCCAGTAAAGCTAAGACTTCCGCGCGCTTTATCAACGCAAGATCCTCCTTCTTAGATATGAGAATCAAGCAAATCTTAGCAAAGTTAGGTTATCCTAATAAAAAAATTAGACATTCTCGAGTTAAAGTGGGAATTAATCTATGATAAAAACTATGATATATCTTCTTGACCTGGATTGATAATTACAAAGCTCAGTTCCGGTTCTAACAGTTGAATGGTTGAATTGTGTCAAGCCTTGCTGGTTATCAGTGATCAGCGCTACACAGCACTTTCTGCGCCTCATTTATCGCGTATATATATAACCGTATATTTACCGTATTTTTAGTCATTCTATTGGTGCTCAAGCTTTTATGCAATCAATGGAAATTAGGATGGCAGTCGATGTGTTAATAAATACGAAATACAATTAAAATAAAATAATAATGAGTGCTCTCTTCTGATCGTGTGTGGAATACAATGATATGGGATAAATAATTGTGGGACATTCAGTATCCAGTAAAATCGCGTCCATCCTATCGCCTTGAATCGAAACATTTTAATTTTTTTATTCAGTACTTTCTTACCGGTGAACGACGCAGTGGAGGTTTTCCTGCTACTCGGTCTGCTGCCGAAGAGGCTGAAGAGTCGTTGAAAAACTCCCAAGCGATTCGGCCCTTCGGTCTCCCTGCGACGGTGCAACTTGTAAAGGTCGGCCAGGCTCTGCCTGGGATCGTCCGGCTCCAGATCCGGCTGACTGCTAAATGCTACGGTACCGCGACGTATGCCTAATTTCAACAAGGTCTGACTCGTATATGACGCGAAACCCCATGTCGAGCAGTCATTATGATGGACGCGCGATTATTGAGGCTTGGGTTCTACCTAATCGTCGGGACGTATATTCTGCGGAAGCGAAAGCGCGTGCGAATTTAGGCGACATTTATGCGGAAGCGAGTCATGAATCGATCTGTATCCATGGCAGGGGATATATTCCGCGTTACACGCACGGAATTAACTTGTCTGCCTATCTGTATATCGCGCGATATTTTCGCGTGTGCGCAAGCGCTATATTATATCTGTTCTCCATTTAAAACAGTATATATTATTCTCCATTATAAACAGACTGTAAATAGTTTATTTGCAATTTCGCACCATATATACACGCTGTAAATTTGCCATCGGCAATTTTGCGATTGTATGACGATAGCTTCGGTATGAAAATCGCCTGCGATAGAAGAGGAAGGAGGGGAAGTACACATATTTTTATCTCATTGCAATGAAACATACTGTGTACAGCTATTTACACGAGTATCTCCCAATCGTGCACGTCTTTGAACTGAACAAGCTGGAAGCTCCCTTCTGTTGTGTTTCTGTACATTGTTCGAAATTTCTGCTCCAATTAGCTGAAGATTCAGAGTTCATCTTCAATGTGTCGCGAGCTGCAGGTTGCGTGAAAAACAAACAGGAAAACCCAGAACTCGCGTGACACGAGCCGAGTTTTCAGCATTTTGCCTAACAACGTTTGTTTCATCAATCAAGCAGTGCGCGACAAAACTTTCGTCCGTTCGACATGCTCACGAACAATAGGCCGTACAACAACGTGTTGTGACACCATCACAGATCGGTAACTCGTCGATACCTTCGTCGTCTGAGTTTGACGCACGGACGCTGCGATAGATATGTGACAGGTGTATCATGTGCGATACATGCTATTGATAATTTACGCGATGCATGTATATCGGATATCTCATTACATAGAGAGTAGGAGATATTGTGTGTGTGTGTGTGTGTGTGTGCGCGTGTAATCTCTTAATAAAATAACATTTTTATCAGCATTTACCGTACGAATGATCTCTCAGCGGGTGGCGCTTAAATGAAATTGATATTAAGATCCAGATAAAGTTTATACGGAGGTAGGAGGAGAAGGGAGAGATTTCTCCTCAGAGTCGTGCATACAGGCCCCAAAGGGTTCCCTCGGGTTAAAAGTCGTTCGTCAAAATCCGGGTTAAAATTCAGTTTGCGAAAATTCCTTCGAAAAGCCGCGACACGGCTATTTTCCGGCGATGAGGCACCCTCTGTGCACACACACATATACACAGACGGCGCTCAACCTTTGACCTCGTTCGATCAGTCACGGTACACATTCGGAAATATTGGGGTGGAACGTGCAGTCGGCGTGCAAACGCGTACCTCGGCGTATGTACTTATGCGCTGAATTGTCCGGACTCATCAAGGGGATTCGGGATTTTGGAGACGCGAGTGCAACGCTGCCCGAATCGATATATCAGAAACTCGCCGAATGCGGCGCTCACGGGCACTCTCCGCGCGCGCTAATAATGCCCGCCATATTCTCACGATGACGGTCAAGTTGGACGTGGACGTTAATTGGTACACGACACAGGACACGAAATACTCGATACATGTCTTGTGTTCGTCGCGTGGCGTTCGTTGCGGAATTGCCGGAGCGTAAATATGCATGCGCGACAGTCGAAAGGCGGATATTTCGCGAGCGAAATGTGTGCGGTATTTGCACACATTGCAAATGGCACGACCCGGGGAGACCAATTTTCAGGGGAAATTTCCTTTTAGTCAGCGCAAAGGATGGGAATAAACAGATCAATTACAAGCGCGTGCGGCGACGCGACGACGCGGGCGAATAATAATCGAGCGATTACGCTTGATCTCTGCGGGAGCTTCGTGAGAAAGTAGATTGATCAAAATGATTCAGGAGGGATTCTTTCTCAACGCGAAACGTTTCGACTTTCAACGCCGAGGGAAAGAAAGGAAAGATTAGACGAAGATAAAAATCTGTTGCTTCTTTCACATATCCGCAACTTTGTAATTCTTAAATTATTTAATATTTGTTTGTCTCATGTACACTCCGTCTGCTGTTGAGTAAGTTACATCATTGATACGTTGTTTGTTGAAATTGAGATAATCAAACATTAAATAACTCTTGAGTAAATGTGCTCAACATGGAAACGGCGGCAGTGAGTAACCATTTGTAGCATCAAATTAGATCAACTATGCTGAATAGTGTTGTAGTGTTGTTGAGTACCTCGGGATATTCTCTCCCTTCATTGACCTTTCAAGTTCGACGATATATACAAGATTAATGTAGAAGCGAAATCTCGACTCAGAAAGTTTCTAAAATTGATACATCTCTCTAAAGTTCTACATCGGGGTAAGTGATTCGTGGCTATTTCGGCTATTATCCCTCCTTGCGTTAAGTACAAAGCTTCGTGAGTGGAAAAAATGTCCGTACGGTGGATATTCTTGCGGTGAAAAAGACTGAACATACTATCGTTAAGATCTCTGCGCTGTGAAAAGTGTCAACACATCTGGATCTGAGCATGCATGTGTTTACTCTTAGGAAAAAGTGAAGAGAAAAAACGATGGTCGCTTGGTCGCGTGTGTTTAATTTGAAAAAGTCTCAGGTCATCTGAGTGTGTGTGTAAGAGGAACTTCGAACAAGGTTCGAACGAGCTGTCCTTTCTTCTACGCTAATACTTTGCTATAACTCGGGCTCCCTTCCCACGCTCTCAACTCAGGCAAGCGAACGTGGGGAAGAACGTTTTTCAGGCAATTACGTGCAATAAAGGGATTTCTGTCACCTTTCTCGGACATCTGATCGACGGAAAAACGGCGGAGCGAGAAAAGCATATTAATACTTATGGTTCCTTCCTTCTCTCCCGCCGGCAAGGCTCGACTCGTCGTGCGAGTTTCGGAACATCTATTCCCGTCTCCTCGCTTTCGTCTCGATAATCTATCGGTCGTGCCTTTTGGCACGTACGTTCCTGGTACACTTTTACGTTTTCCTAGCTAAAAACTTCGCTTTTTCCTGCCCCTTTAATAGATAATCTATTTCGACGGAGGTAGAAGCCCCGCAGTCACTCTCTTTCACGAGATCGATGCGGGATCTTGGCTTCGAGTTTATGCGGATAAAAGTCGCTCCACCGTTTCTCGGCGGCATTATACGATACGAAACGTACGTCGCTGGTCGTCCGATACCATTTCGTCTCTTTTATAATGTATGAGGACGTTCGGTGACTTTTGCTGTTGTTACAACCCGCCGTCGTATCGAGAAAGAGAGAGAGAGAGAGAGAGAGAGAGAGAGAGAGAGAGAGAGAGAGAGAGAGAGAGAGAGGGAGATTAATTCAATAAGCGGAAGAAATCAGCTGGATTTTATCTAAAGTGAGGTCGAGCTCTTCCTTGAGCGGCGAAGATCGGAACGGTGTCCTTCGCTGGCACGACGAGTCCATCTATCTATCTGTCTACATCCCGATCGATTCACACTCACCGGACGAGTCCGCGGATGGCCAACTAGCGCGGGGAATAACCGGTGGCAGAACGCTGAGCAATAACAGGGGCAGACCGCCGCCGATACTCGGATTTCGTTGGGAGATCGAGGCGCTTGACGAGCCGTGCGACGGTTCCAGCGTCTCCTGCGCCAGTTGCTTCTCCAATCTGGCCAACTCCAGCTCCAGCTGTGCCATCTCACGGCGATAAACTCGATTTTGCACCTCCACGCGATACTGTAGCTCTCTGCCGTCAAGATACGATCACACTCAGACGCAAACACCTCGCCAACTCCCTCGAGTCTCGCCCTTCGCTCGACAGTCGATCCCATCGCGATCTAATTAACGTTAATTATCTCACGCGTTACTCGGAGATTCGTGCTCACGGGAACGGGCGTTTCAGGAGAGAGAGAAACAGACGCGGCGGGCCCAAATCGTTTTAAAGCGACGAGAGAGCTCGATGTAATTCGCGACTCCGAGCGCTCGGGGAGCGACGGGCGAGCCATCGTCCTTGAGGTAGACAACTCCGAAGACGAGCGAAGATCGCGAAAGTAACGCGACGTAACTTTTCCCCCTCGACGTTCCAAGGGGATTAGAGCGCGCAGGCACGACGAGAGACATTGTCTGGAGGTCGATCCGCTCGGCCGATTAGCCACCAAGTGGAACTCCCTTATCGTCCTGCCGAATGACGCTATTGCGCTCCAACTCCGTCCTCCATCCCCGTCGACTGTCCTCCGGTCACTTACCTCCTGTCGTCGGTGACGAATCTGCGCGTATTACATTCGATCTTGAGGCCGAGGCTCTGCACGACCGGGTCGGCCCTCTCGCCCGCGAGGATGTTCGCCAGTTGCGGCAGGAAGAGCAGCGCCAAGGTCACCGTCGTCGACGACAGGATCAGGGCGGTGATGGTGACGAAGGCCAAGGTCGCGCGGTCGGGCATTAGATTGGCCAACACCACGACGATGCTCGACGTGATGACTACGAGGTACACGCTCATGCCGATGTATTGCGAGTCGTTGAGCGCCGGGATCTTGACGTGCCTAGAACCGCGTCATTGGCCGCGTCACTTGGACGACATCCGATTTCCAGCCGCGCGGCGTCAAGGCCATGGCGCAAGCGAAATGCAGCGGACGATGATCCTCGAGCTACTTAACGGATAGCTCGGAGAAGAGCGGTAAGAGCAAAAGCGGGATCACGGGGGGAGCGTAACGCGCTAGCCGCGGGGATTACGCCGCGAGGATCGCCACGCAAGAAACGTAATGTCTGCTCCGCTTCGAAGCGGCATGAAATATTCAGCAGATTATCTCTATTAGAGATATCGGCGGAGCTCCCGGCGGCCTTTGGCACCAGGGCGCCCGCACACTTTGGAGACGTCTTTATCCCCGAAGCTTACCTCGTTTCCCAGGCCATGTAGACCCCGACTACCAGCAGTAAACCTTTGTAAACGTAGAGAGCGAGCAGCCAGCCGTTGGTGTACTGCGAACGGCACACCTCCACCTATAAGAGCAAATAAAGGCACGAGTTAATTGGCTACGGCTCGTTAACGATAATTACCGTGGCGTAGTCGTGACATTCAGCCGTGGCTCGCGCGACCGAGAGAGCTCGGCTAGGTGCGGACGTGTCGCGCGGCATGGCTCCGTCTACTCGCACGGTACGGCTTTACCTGAGGCTGATAGACGACCCCTCGATCCTGCGGGCTGATCTCCAGCGTCAGGTTGCGCAGGTGACGTTGCATCGGGTCCAGAGTCACCCACAGCGTCACTATGAGGCAGTCGATCAGCAGGAGCACGCAGATCAGGCTTATCAGCTGGGTGTCCTGCAGCAGCTGAAATGTACAAAGCGATAATCGCGATTTATGCGCCGGAGCGTCGATTCCGCGCTGGCGGAAGCGCAGCGCGCAGCTTTCCGCCAGCGTGTAAATCTCGTCGGCGCAAATATTGGCTCCGCCGCGCCGTTGAGCGCGAATATGCATATGTAGCGCGGGGAGAATTATCGCGAAATCTCGCGTCGACCAACCTTGTTCTTCACGACACCGCTTCGGCTCCTCGTGAAGATCCTGTGCACTCGATACGTCTTCGTGAACATCGAGCCGAAAGCCAAGGAGAAGCCGGCCGACAATAGGTACACTCTCGCCTGTGGATGAGAGGAGCCTCTGGTTTTTGCTCTCGCGTAAGATGCAGAATTCCGTATGCTCTTCTGCGTCAGTCGAGGAAACTATCTCTAAAGAATTTCCACACGCGATTTGCGCGATACCGCTTTTTACCGGCATTACCGGCATAAATCTTCGACATCGCGGTAGGTTGCTCGTCGTGAAAAATAGGCTGATAAATAAGTAATAATTAATAGATAATTGTAAAGTCTTTAACAAGTCTCCATACATTAATATTTCATAATATTCGCGCGAGAGCACCGGGAATTACCACACTGCCGGCTACTAAACATTTTACTCTGCATCTCCTCCATTAATATGAGACACCGCGCGAGGACTCCTCGGAAGCGGAGGGCACCGGACGTCCGTTTATAGCGTTTAATTAAGAAGCTCGCACACGCGCGCACACACGCACACGTACACACGAGCGCGCGCGCGCACGAGCGTGCACGGGCGCGAAAGGCGATAATTAGCGTGCATTATGTAAGCTCGATTGACACTGATAATATTGATCGCGTCATCGAGGACGTTAATATTCCTCATAATGGATGTTAATGCTCACGGTGCACACTGCAGGATAATAACCATCGCTGTCGGGTAGCGTGGCGTCGTCCAGTCCCAAAAGTATTACAGCCCCGTAGACCAGGACGCAGCCAACAGCAGCCATGTTATTCAGCCTCGGGCTTGAAAGTTTTATGCTTCTGCCAATATCCAGGAATAATGCATTTGAGTGATTTATCGCGACGATTTGCGTACAGATTCGTCGATGGTGAGAATTATTTTTCACGCGCGGTGCTGCATTCGTTCGCCGGCGGCCGAATTGCCGTTTGCATTGCTTTTCAAAACTTAGTCAAGTAACCGTGTTTGCCGTTTTGCACAAAAGCACCGCCTATTGTTTTTCCGTGATCGGCGGTTTAATCGGTGGGCAAATATTTTATATAGATGTTCCGCGCGCGCGCGAGAGCGAGACTCGATAAGTGTTTCGAACAAGCATCACTTAGACTTTCATTATGCTTTCTCGCGACGCTCTCGCCGCTTTCCTAACTTGATTTCGTTGTTCGCTCGCTGAGAGTGGGGCTTACTTGTGCTTGCGGAAGTGGAGATTGAAAGCCAAGAAAGCGAGGGCCAGGATAACGCCGATGCTGGCGATGCAGGTGACGGTGAGGAACGCAGCGGGGGCTATCGTCACCATTCGTAATCTGCACGCAATCAACAAAACTAGATCACTCACACAGTCGCGATTGTGAAGTCGCGATTTGTACATCTAGCGCCATCTACCAATTGTAGATCAATGTCACATCGAACCGCGTGCAAATTACTTTAACGCTTTGTCCCGCGACGTTGTAATTGCCGATGCTATTGTCGCGCCGTATTACGTATTACGCTAACTCGGCGCAGGCCGTAATTACAACACGGCAATGTTGTTGCCGTGTTGCGAGCGCAAATTGAACCGACTAAATATTTGACTGGAATGATTCCCGATCTGTCTCGCGCTAGTTTGTTATTTGTGTAACATTAATTACGTCATTAATTTCGCCGCGCGCTCGGCGTAATTATTATTAATCATATCTGGTCATCTACAAAACATATACAATTGAAAGTACACATCGGAAACGCCGCCATATACCGGCCTACGTTTCGTCCTTCGTTGATTTTTTTTCTATTGTTCTTTCGATATCTTCTTTTACATCGGTATCCTTTTACATTGCTCGCGAGCATTCGGACGGGACATTGACCTAGCGATGTGCCAGCCATGGGCTGGCAATCGGACTTCGATTTGCCCATGATAATGATCGAATGGCTCAATCTAGACTGATAACACTGACGGTGCATACCGGAAGACTCTGCGAGCCGCTGGCACTTGGCCTCCGGGCCATCTTGTAGCCGCGCATCCTGGACAGTTCATTATCAGTTTCCCGTCTTCGGGATTGTAGATAGCTATTCTCCTAATAACGTGTCCTGTAATCGAAAAACTTTGCGATTAATTATCCGAAGTATGTCACGTGGCGATGACACGTTGTCGGACGGTGATTGGTGTCCTATTAATCTCTCGTTAAATCTTCCATTAAAATTTAACGCGAAAATCGCTCGAGGTTATTAAATCGCGTGGTTTTTTATCGGACATTTGCTGTACCTCAAACTCGTTCAGGCCGTGCAGGCACAGAAGTCGCGATCATTGCAACTACAGAAAGTCCCAAAGTCGCACAATGGATGAGCAAGGTGAATGCTGTCGGGATAAGGAAACTATCGCTTTCATTTGCGAATTAAAATATTTTCGTTTTCCTTGCGTGCGTCCGTCGCGATCCTTTTCCTTTTTTTTCGCGAAAACCTGGTTTAATTGTTTCACCAGTACGTCGGAAAATAAGTAATGGAAAGAGATCAAGATATGTCCAGGAGGACGTTTATTCAAGTTGGGAGCGTAATCTCCCCCCTCTCTCTTTCTCTTGTCTTTTCCGATTATTTGTACAACCGCCGCTTCCTTCTTTTCATGGAGAGTAATTTTGCCTTATCGAGGATAAGACAGAAATTAATTAGCCTTTCTGACGTCGGCGAAATTATATAACGGAAAGAATTTCAGAGTGCAGAGATGCGCGCGCATATGAGGTCAGCGGTGCCAGACGACTTGCAATTACGGCCGATTATGTTCTCAAATCTTCGAACCTTAATATAAATTCTAGCAAAATATATGCTAGTGCCGCCGACTGGCGAGCGATGATAATCTTTTTATTGGGAATGGAATTACAGTGCACGTGAAGGTGTTGAAAGGACGATATTGATCAAATCGAGACTTTAATTCCTTCCACCTCATCGTTCTGTGTCCTCAGAAAATCCATTACTCGCCCCTTTCTCTCACGAATTCGCCCGGCGATTTATCCACCGGAGTCGATAAGCTCGGATATTCGCGTGGTTGGCAAAAGAAGGATTGGAGACTTGCGTTCCTTGTTGGCGTCGTTGTCGCTACAGCTGTGAGCCAGAAAATTTCAATGAGAAACCTTTTCGTATAATGAATCGAGCACCGTCAAGGCTGTACGCGTTCGCGTAAGCGTAATACACGTCCGGAGAGATAATTATTCTTAAATTCTTTTCCCCTTTTCTTTCAGCTGAAGCAGCTAAGCTTTGTCCATTTCGTAACGTAGCTTTTATATCGTTTTATAAAATAACGTTAGAGCGTTACAGCAACAACTGATCCAATATTGTTACTCGTTGTCTGATCTGTTATTTGATAGAAAATAAATAGCCTATATAGAGACATGGATGCAATTCCGTATCGGAACACTTCAGATATTCAGTTTCGCTCGTAACGCTCTCACGCAGATTGATTCGTCGATGACGCGAAATTGACATTATTTCGTATTGATTTTCCGAAAGGCGGACGCATGATTTTCGAAAATCATGCCAATTTGGCCGGGCGGACGTTATTGCGGATGTTACGTGAGTGTGAGTGGAAAAGTTCCTACGGCTAAGTACAAATTAGGTCGGACGGCGATGGTTTCCTGAAGCTCGTAGTCGCGGAAATATCGGATATGTCTCTAATGAATCTTTAAGCAGGCTTCTTTCGTGTCAGCCTCTGAAAGTAAGTGACAGCGATCTGGAAACCTTGCCAAGTTCTCAGAAGCGCGATCGATGATTATTGCGTTCTTCTCATAGACAGGTGTATGTAGTATATAATTAGCGGGCTCGCTTGTTATTGAGAAATAAGATGGTATCGTCGGGACACGTTATCTTTCTCTTCCTTCTGTCGTAAAAATCTCTTTAAAACGTCCGCTTTATGAAGCTTTTATCGAGGAAACCGGGTTCCTGGGAGGGAGAGAGAGAGGGGGGGAAGAGAGAGAGAGAGAGAGAGAGAGGAAAGGGGAGGAGGAAGTCTAACTTCCTCTGCGCGAGGGAATAATACTATTGCCCATAAAATTCAGACGTAATACGGCGAGCACGGGACGTGTCCGCGGCGAGACAGCAAAGTCATTTAATAATTCATATTTTATCATTCGGGCACGTCGTAAAATAGATAAATCCTGTATAAATCAAAAAGTCGCTTGAATAAGCAAGGGGGCCGGGGAAAGAGACAAAGCGACCTCCGCCGTCGCGGAGCACAAACCTCCGTTAAGCAAATTTAAAGTTTCAGCCAACTATTTATCGCACGACAAACAGCGCGCTGCTCGAGTGCCCTCTTGTCAATTTGTTCGTATTTTCATTACACGGGGCATCCCCTGCGAAAGCATTCCGGAACGCACTTTGTATGTGTGTTCGTCGACGATCTTCTATTGTGATATGAAACGCCAGCCGGCGAGGCAGCCACGTCGCGTCAAATTTCATTCGAGAAGCAACAAAGAAGAATAGTCACCTCGTTACATTTATTCCTTCTGCTAGAAAGACGGAGGAGGAACGAACGCTCGCAATTTATATGCCATCTATACCGCCTTCCGCCTCGCATCTGCGCGCGAGCTTCTTCCTCCTACATGTGGAAGCACTTAAGATCGTTTCGTGCTAACTATAACTCGCGGCTCCTAAATCGCGCGCGGCTGAATCCAGCCAGCGTAAATATATCTGCCGCTTAGCACGGGAAATACTTTTAGAATCGCACATCCACATCCGCGAGAATCCGCCGCCGCGTTAATAGCCAAAAAAACTGCGATACTAGCGCAATGAAATGCGAGGGATGCGGATCATCCCTCGTGCAATTTCGATCACGCGAAGCGAGCTTTGTGACCCATCGCGTTTCTGATTCGACTCTCGTCTCTCGCTTGTGTGTACCTCCCTCGCGCGTATTCTCTCGGCGATTCCGTTCTCGAGCTCTTTCGGGCGAAGCAATCGCTCGCCGGCGAAGGAAGAATTAGCGCCGGTGATTTCGCGCCGGCGATAAATCGCCGCGACCGATCGTTTTCGAAGGCAAACGGGATCTTTAACGGACGGTTCAAGGAATGTTTCTCGTCTGCGCTTTTTGCACGATTTTATTTCCTCTTTCTCTGTGTGCATTTCTTTCTCTCCTTTCATTTCTTTTTCTCTCCTTTTTTACATCCATATTCCACTACCCTACCTTCTTCACTGTACCATCGTGATGTAACTCCTGCGACAACGAGCACAACCGTCGTAATATTTCATGATAAAGCCGCGACAACGCGCCCGACAACGACTTTCTCCTCTCTCTCTCCTGCGAAGCTAATCTCGCGTCGCAAATTGGGCGCGACGAATTTTAGACGTCGCATTTCGAATGCATTTCGAATTGTCGCGGCGAGAAGCGAATAGATCGATAGTACCACCTACCCACCTACGCACCTATCCACCCACTCATCCATCCATCCATCCATCTATCCGTGTATTGGGTGTATTACATTTTTCTTCGCTTGACTTCGCCGTGCCACGGCTCAGTAAAGCCAAGGCACAAGAGGTGGGCGGCGGTTAATAATGACTAATGAGAAATCGGCGGAAATGACAAAATGAAATAATGATACGAGAAATGCCGGTGACGTGAGTACAATCGTCTGGAGGGTGGAACAGCAGGGGGGAGAGACCTGTGACATGTCGACCTGTGAAACGAGCGAAAACTCTCCGTTCGGTCGACTGTGTACTCTGACAAATAATCGGAGAAAGCAGGAGAAAGAGACAGAGAGAGAGAGAGAGAGAGAGAGCGAGCGAGAGGGAGACGATCGTTATCTGTCTCGCTATCGTGCGGGTAAAATTAAATTTGACCGCGCGCGCTCCAGTTTCCCTCCAGGTTCGCTTGCATCCGATTTCCGTTCCGGAGTGACACGCGAACAACTTGGTCCATCACTTTCTATCCTCAAGGTTAACGAGTCGAATCGATATCCATGGCAGCCCCGCGGCGTACGGATCTTCCTCACACGCTCCACGTCATACATGACTATATGCGATATTCTCTTCGTAACCCTCGTTGAGAGAGAGAGCGAGAGAGAGAGAGAGAGAGAGATTTACCCGAGGAACCGCCATCTAGCCAGTTCACCCCATCGCCTTCGGTGGGTGCCCTCGGTCCGTTATTACGCTCAAGCGAGAATACGCGAGGGATACGTGAAATCAACCGATCTCTGCCACTTGATTTGTCTTACGAAGGGCAGCCGGTCACCCCGGCTTCATGTCTGTCTTTCTCCCCCTCCCGCTCTCTGCCTCTTGCTGTAATACAAGCGAGCGAAGCGTTGAGAGCAAGAAGAAGCAAGAAACGAAGAAAGAAAGCGGAAACAAAAAACAGGACGCAGGTGGCAAACTCGCCGCCGGTGTAGAAACGATGCCGATTTAATCTGTTCAAACAGCAGGACCAGGGGAGGGAAGAAAGGTATCCTTTGTGCGTTTTCTGCTGTAGCTATCGGCATCGAAAATTCGTGCCAGTTCGTCGACTTTATCTAAAATCGATGCCGCCGGCACGCTGCTGAAAAAGAAGCTTCTTCGGGGCTGCGAGCAAGGTTAACGAGCTGAGCGATGAGCGCATGATATATACGACAGACGGCGATCGTGTTATCAGGGCGGCGTGAAAGTGGCGAGAGGTCGCGGCAAGGGAAGCGGGCGGCTCGGGGCTGCTTTCGTGGGAGAGAGAATATCGTCGCTTTACCCGACAGAACACTCGTCCTACTAAGTTTTAACCCCCTCTGAGGGACGAAGTGTTAACCGTCTAAAAACTCTCCTAATGGCGGATAGTCTTTACCCGCGCGCAATTGTTTTTACGCCGGCTGACACGTGACTAATGATTTTCAGTCTCGATACACAGCATGGAAAGCGATACCCGGCGAGTCCCAAGGGGTTGTCTCTCGCGATATTGTGAGGAAAGTGCGCGCAAATCGGTGGAACGAAACGCGGCCTCGGCATCCTCGAAGCGCGAGACACGAACGATGAACAAAGACAGATGCTTTAAATCTCGCGGTAACTTAGCGGGCAGGATCCCGACTTTAAATAAAGCGCGTCGGATTATCCGTGTCTTGGTTTCTCTTGAATAAGCCGTCTAGCAACGAGAA